ATTTCCTATTTTTAACTGTTTTAAATTCATTTTAAATCAATTTCTAAATAATTTTTAAAGTTTTTAAGTTCCCCGTTTTATTGTTGTGATTTTTTTACTTCCTTTTATGTAAAGCACTTTGAATTACCATTGTGTATGAAATGTGCTATATAAATAAACTTGCCTTGCCTTGCTATGCTCACGTCATGTTTAGTTACTCTTTTTGTATTCAGTCCCTCAGTTTCAGTCAGTCCTAGATTGCCTTTACTTTTCTTCAATGCTCATTGATTATAGTCTTTGCCTTAAGATTTTAAATACAAGGCTGTAGATCCTCTGCTCCTCCTTCCTTCACCTGGCCAGTGTAACACATTAGGGTTGTCACATTATTTTGGTAATTGAGTAATTGGTCGACTATTTTGACAATTAATCTAATAATTTTGTGGTAAGAAAAGGGGAACGAGACACTGCGTCCCCTAGAGAACACTATGGGGGAATGCCATCAGCATGACCAGTGTCTGAAGCACAAGTCTAAACACAACAAAGAACATGACATTGGCCGGCGACAGCTTACAATGACACTACTGGTGCGACCTTGAGTATAAAAGGGGCATTTGTATAACACATCATTCACTTCTTTTCTGAAGAAAATGTACACAGGAACACATGAAGCATGGCGAGTAGACAGTTTCTAATTGCCCCTCTTAGGGATTCAAGGTTACATGCATAACCTGATATGTTCATTTTCGAATGGGAACTGGCACTGCATCCCCTACAGCAGTGAATCTCAACCTTTTGGCGTACCGGACCCCAGTCCAATTCAGAACCATCCTCAAGGATCCCCAGAACAAAATTGACTCATCTATGAATCATTTGTGTCTTTGTGAGGACCAAATGCAGTAAAGTATAATTCAAGTTAGTTGACTTGTCCAGTATTTGGCCATATCATCAGCTATATTGGATTTCCATATATCGGACCCCTGGTTGAGAAACACTGCCCTACAGCATGCTATGGGGAACAAAATACCCACTCTGCTATGATAAAGGTATGAGTGTCTTATTGACTGACACAGGGGTGTCCAAACTCGGTCCTGGAGGGCCACTGTCCTGCAGAGTTTAGCTCAAACCAGCTCCAACACACCTGCCTGAACGTTTTTTGTATGCCTAGTGAGACCTTGATTAGCTGGTTTAGGTTAGTTTAATTGGTGTTGGAGCTAAACTTTGCAGGTCAGCGGCCCTCCAGTACCGAGTTTAGAGACCTCTAGACTTACATTAAATTCAACTCCTCTAAATAAGTTCCCGTCCCTAAGGTGTACACCAATGCTAAAAACTGTAACCGATAAAGTCCTGGCTTAACCCTTCTAAAAAAGGCGTAACCATAGGCAGAGCTCATGGCTTGGTATTCCTGAGAATACCTTTAAGGGAATAATATCACTGATAGGAGATCTGAGAACAGAAGCCTCAGCAGGATGACTCGCTTAAGCCAGAGGAGGCCTAAGTTCTATGGTCAGGACATCTTCCAAGGAGGCTCACAGAAAGCCTAGTGACCTGGAGTTGCTATTCAGGTAGAGGTTAAGCATTTTCCTGATGCGCCCCTGCCATGCTTGCTTAGCTTGTCACTTTGTTTCTGACTGAAAAATTCCTGCTTTCAGCCACATTTATCAATACTTTGTTTGCAAACATAAATGACATGATCAGGATGAGTATTTGTGTGGAGAATCCCCTCAGTGATCTGAAAAAACAATCAAAAAAGTGGAAGGAAATAACCCTTCTGTATATAAGAATAGCAGATTCCACAGCACAACTAACAATAACTGCACAGAGAAACGCTATTGTTGGAATCTCTTTTATATTGTTGGATTTGTTTGTTTTTTCCAGCTGATGAATGATAAAAGCATTGACAGCCAATTAGAATCCATTCAACTTTAACGAGCTCCAGCATTTAAAGCAGCAGAAGATAAACCTGCAGCACATGCTTAGCATGAACAGTGCTATTGTTCATCTGTGTGGAGGCTAGCATACGGTTATAGTTATTGCTCTTGTGTGGACGGGCTTTAAGAGTGCCGCCCAAGCTACTGGGTCCACACTTACTTATCAGCGTTTTGGTAGTTTACAGTGCCTAGTGACTCCCTCTGTTCATGGGTGTCTATAATTAATCAATAATCAAATTAAACAATACCAAAATGCATTCAAATATTAATATTTATTAAGTTTAACACATATCTGTCACTGCTAAACATTCCTCATTTATCTGTAATATAAATAAGATGCTAAAATGGTTATTTCTACAGCGATATAGTCATGCAGTGTAATGGATGACACTGTGGTGTAACAGAGCATTAGCATTACACTGCATGACCAAACTTCTGCTTTAGCTTATGTTTCAGGCAATCAAATGGCCAGCTATTTCAAACAGTGAGCTTGACCAGTAAAGATATTCACAACATCTACTTGCTTTTCAAAACATCTAACATTAAAAGTGTTTTTGGCGTTTCACTGAATGACGAGTGCTTTTGTAACCTATGTTACCACACCATGAAAAGATGAAATGATCAAGTATTTCAGAGCAATAAACTCTCTTTCTGCAGCACCACACGGTCTTCCAGGTGTTAGTTAATAATAATCACAGACTGCTGAATGACTATCAGTTTTCATATGATCTCAGAATAGCTTCCTCCTGTTACACTGAACAATCTCAGAATAACTGCGGGGGACAAAAGCCAATACAATAAGACATAGCCCTTTTAATAGAACACAGCCAATACTTACCTGAGAATGCCAAGACAACACATATATTCTCTAACTTGGTATTTTATGTTTATTTAAAGATGTATTGGTCAAATCAAAGCCCGGGCCATTACACTGAATGACAATTTTACACTTTGGAACATTATTTCCCCCATAT